CAATTATATTCAACAAATACAATAATTTACGAAAGTAGAAGATATAGCTGGGATATGAACCAGCGACCTGGGATTACAAAGCCAGTTGTCTACCCACTGAGCTTAGAAATACGAAATAAGTAAAACGGCCTCAAGCTCAATAAAATTGTTGAATATAATTTTTCTTTTCTTTATTTTACTAAAAGTTAATAAAATTTTAATATTTTTTTATTTCTAAGCTAATATAATACTTCTTCAATTTGGCTTTAAAATATTTTACTGAAATTTTATTTTTATGTTTAATTTCTTATTTATTTTTAATTCTACTACTTTTAATTCTACTATACTATCTTATACAAAATTATTAAACTTTTATTTTATTATTTCATGATATAACTTTAGTGAAATTTTATTTTAAATTTATTTATTTAAAATTTTTTAAATAATTTTTTGTTCAGTTTTACTTTGTTTTCTTTTATTAAAATATATTAAAATTTTATTTTTTTATTCCTAAACTAAAATATGTATCAATTTTTTAATTTTCTTTTTAAATAATTCTTTTTGGAAATTTTATTTTAAACTTTTAATTTCTTCATTTTATTTATTTTATATGAATTTTAAATTTTTTTTTTAATTTTTCTTTTCTTTATTTTATTTTACTAAAAATTAGTAAAATTTTAATATTTTTATTTCTAACATACATATTACCTGTTTTTTGAATATTGGTTCTAAATTATTTTATTGAAATTTCATTTTTGTTTCATTTTTTATTTTTTTTTACTATACTTTGCTTTATTTTATTATTTCTTAATATAATCTTATAATCTTGTAATCTTAGTGAAATTTGATTTTAAGTTTTATTTATTGAATTTTTTTTTGTTCAATTTTACTTTGCTTTATTTATTAAAAAATAGGAAAATCTAAATTTTTTATATCGAACCTAAAATATGCTTTATTTTTTCAAGTTCCCTTTTAAATAAGTATTTTAATGAAATTTTATTTTAAACCTGTGATTTTTTAATTTTATTTGTTTTTTATTTTATGTGTATTTTTAAAATTTTTTATTTATCATTTCTTTATTTTACTTTACTCAAAACTAGTACATTTTAAATATTTTTATTTTAGGTTTTATGTTTTATTTTTTATTAATTTGTTTGTTTTTATTTTTAATTTTACTATAATTTAATTTTACTATTTTGTTAAAAATTATTAAAATTTTCTTTTATCATTTCTAAACTAAAATGTTACTTTTTAATTTTTATATATTATTTTTTATTTATTTTAATCTTTTTCAACTTTGCCATATTTTATTTAATTAAAAACTATTGAAACTTAGTTGATTATTTCGAAGTCATAATATTTTAATTTTTTTTAATATTTATATATATTTTTATATTTTATAATTTTTTCGGTTTTTGATAATTTTGTATTATTTTATTGAAATTATGTACGTACATACATATGTATATATATACATCCACGCCACTACCCTTCTTTCTCTATCTTCCACCAATTCAAATTATTACATATTTGTATATTCCTAACACACTTGCCCGAAATGAGGCTAATTTACCCAGTTGCATGCAGGAAATTAAAACCGGAATCTCGATCCAGTATGCCCGTAATAAATATAAACAAAAATCGCTGTAAAGTTATTCAAACAGTGTGGCCTTGACTCATCAGTATATATGCATATGTACACACAAACACACATATTAATGTATGAGTATTTTTAATACCCCTGCAGCAAATCAAACTGGTTCAGAACTTGCGCTGAGCTAGCCTGAAAAGGGACGGTACTGGTTCTTCATCTATCCCAACTCAACGCTTGCAACTGTATTTTTTAACATGGCGATGTCCTACGAAGTGACAATTGTCGCCCTCTGCAGAACTTTTGAACTTGTTCTGAGCTGACTCTGGCTTAGATGGTTCTGATACAGTTCATATAACAACAGTTCTTAGATAGTTCAAAAAGGGTCACCTCCGGGCTAAAAAAAATGTGGTTAGTTTTGAGCTGGTTCTAATAAGTATAGTATGGAGCCTTTTCTTTAAATAAGCACGCATACAATTTTGTAAATAAAAATACTTCATTATATGTTNGAGCAGTTGCCCCATAAACTATGTAGAGAATTACATATTAAATAAACGAAAACAGTTTGTTATTACTTTTAGGGTCTAAGAAAATCGAAAAAATATAGTATATTACATTTGTGCATCTTTTGTCAGCTTTCACATGACCAGGATGAGTAACATTGATGACAGCGCAACTAGCAACATATGAGTTTCAACCGTCCAACTCTGCATCCCTATTTCAGTAGTTCAGAGACAGTTCTGAAATTTGTAGGGTGGAACTAGCGCTTTGCCAGACTGTCCCTAAATTTTGCTGCAGGGACTTCATCCTACTCAGCAAGGCGCCCTAAACGGAAATATCTTGCGCATAGCATGAAAAGGGGGACCTTTTTTAATCAATAAACGAGCATGCGGGTATTCACAAAGCTCGATGCCATAAAATAATATGTAGGCGGAAATTTGGACATCGCTAAAGTAGGTCTTGCAGCCTTGGAATTGCTGAAATGTTCATGAGTAGTAAAACTCAACAAATTTCATGTATAAAGTATGTCCTTAAATAAGAGCAGCATACGCGACATGAGATATAAATCAATTATTGGCCTCACGGTTTTATAGCCGATCAAAAATGTGTTTGTTGAATGTGTAACTTGAGCTAAAATCAACTCATTTTAATAGAAAAAACTCCCAAAGTTAAAGAAACATTTTAAAATCATTTATTCTACATAAAATCCTGCCAAAAGTTTTCCAAATTACATTATTTTCTCAATTCATAGCCAGTGCATGTGTTCGTGACTACCTTCATTTCAAACTTAATTTTGTCTTTAGCATCTACATCAGCGTTGCCACAGACATATTTTTTTTCCTACCAAAATTTCCCACCATAACCAACCAAAACATACCAAAAATTTTTTTGGGTTTTTATATTTGTTTTCAATGTAAAATTTTTTAAAAACATACTTGACATAACATTTAGTAAAACTAAAAGACAACTAGATTAATAAAAACAAATTAACTGCGTATAACGATTCATTTTACTTTACAGACTTATCCATATGTACATATCGCACACCGTCTTCAAAAGAGTCACAACTCAAAATTTGGCATTTTTGAGATTATACGCTAAAAATGTATACAGAGCTTTTATTTACCTTTCAGCAAAAGTTAGAGCAAATTTTTGTTATAATTTGTTAAAAAAAAAACCTAAGGTAAAGTCACCCTTGCCCATATGATTATCATGTGCTAAGAAATAGTTTTTCGTATTTTCTGACAAACGCATTATTTTGAGTTGTGACTCTTTTGAAGACGGTGTGCGATATGTCTCTTTACACATACAAACATATCGTAAAATTTCGGCGAAGAAAGACTCTTAACATAGGTGACGGCAAATAAAGCCGCGTTATTCTCTTTGACAGCGAAGAAAGACCCATAAACTTATGTCCGCGGTCAACTATATTTTCGAGTGCAAACTTATTCCCCAGAACTCCCCAAAGAGTTTTTCCGAACTCTTTATTCGTGTCTAGTGACAATATTATTATTATTACGTCGAAGATATCCGCGCTGCGATCTAAGAAGATATATTGTGCTAAATCAAAATTGTAATCACTCCAACCTTAGGCTATTTAAAAAGCTCAGCACTTTGGATGAGGCCATGTTCCAAATTTTAGATGGAGAAGGCAATCGTTCTCCAAGGTGTATCAATCTACGATTCATGCTTCGTGGGCAGGCACATAGAATATACTCTGGGGTTTCTTTCACCACCCGAGAAACCCTACAGTCCGTCCCTACAAAAAGACCCATTTAACTAAAATCGTACGTTAACTTGCAGTGTGCTGTCAGGTTGCCAGTAAGAGTTCTAAGTTCAAGGTGTCTTTCTCGGAGTTCCTGCTGGAAAGAGTTATGCATATCTTTGATTGTCTTATTCCCTTTGTCTTCCGCCATTAGGCAGCAATTTGAGATTATTCCCAGCTAGCTCCTAAGTAGGTCTGCAGTGTATCCTTTATATGTATCACAGAAAGTCTAGGGACCATGCAAACGCATTTGGGCTTCACGCTTTGCGAGACAGTCAGTCCTTTCGTTGCCTTCAAACAGAATATGCTGACGTGACGTGAAGAGTTTACAAGCCTTGATGCCATTTTAAAAGACTAAGGCCTTTAACGCTGCCTGAATATCCGACATAATATTTATTCTGGCCTCATTTGCCTTCTACGATGGCATTCGCGAACACAAACTTCGATTGGGAAGACATCCGCCTGAAATATGGTTGAGTACGAGCCCATTGGCAGACTTTTCTGGAATCTTGGTCCAAGTACGCCATAAATTATATCGCTACCTAAAGGTGAAAAGGTGCCAAGTCCATTTTTTTTTCAAAGTTTAGTTTTTGATGCAGAATGACAGGTAATACGAAACAACATCGATTTTTCGTCTCTCCTGAAAAAGTTAAAAAAAAAATGGACTTGGCACCTTTTCACCCTTAGGTGACGATATATGGATGTCCGTATTGCATATTGGCAATAATAAGGTATACGTTTGTAATTAGGAATCAGGTATATTTAAATGCTTGTGGCCGCATTATACGAACGCACCGGTGAAATATTTGTGTAAGAAAGGTTGCTAAAATATTTGGAGATACGTATATATTTTCTATTTGTCGCAAATAACTATTACTCATTGTCCCGAAATCTACCAAAATCCAATCAAGCCTACCAACCTACCAAATGCAAAAAAAACCTACCAGTTTTGGTAGGAAAAGCCCATGTTTGGCAACACTGATGTACATAAATGCCAAAGGGTGAGCGTACGGCAACAAAAACTTTGCTCACAACGCATAAAAAGTAAATGCCACTCACCGAACGATGAATGAGCAGCAAGATTTACAGAAAACACATGCAACCTACTTACAACAAAAGCATATTTATATGCATACAAATTTATATATTTACATATGTACATACCTCATCTTTACAATCCACATGCACTTTGCCGCTGTCAAGTACGCGCCGCAGGTTGATTTCATCGCCACGCAGTGCTGCCAAATGCAACAACACATCGGATGGGGTCTCTTTCTGCAAAAGAAAAAAATAAACAAAAAATAAAATAAAATATGTGGGTATTTGAACAGCTGAGAATGAAAGGAAAATATATGTATGTACTTATTATTAGACGCTTGTATACAAAAATGTAAAATATAGTCATAAACGTATTTTTTTACGTATGAAAATTTTATATTTTTTGCAAGCTATACACATAAGAACAACTTGCCACATTTGGTACACAAGCTCACACCCATAAGTATTTTTTTTAATGCAACCTAACCCTTTAGCTAGTTGCATACTAGTAGTAACAACAACAATAAAAAATCAATAAAAAACGCATGTGTGCTAAGTAAATGACGGAAACCCAAGCTGAGCCCGAAATAAGATTCTCAAATTTCGTATAGAAAAAAAGTTTACAGCTTCCACCGGCGGCACAGTAGCCGTATGAGATGCACAAAAAAGACTAAAAAAGTGCCAACATTAGACTTGCAGCGAATGTGATGCAACAGCAACAACGTGTCATATGTGTGTAGATACGTATGAATGTGGCTGACTGGCGCACCGTCGAACATATGCTAAACAGCAGCGTCGCAAAAGTGCACCTGATGCTTTCAACACACACACTTGCATACATACTAGAGTGCTGCATAAATGTGTTTGAAAGTGTGCTCAAAACATTTGCTTATGTTCGCTATACTTCATTTCACTCATTTACCTCACAACTTTCAAATACTGTCGGCGGCATATTTGAATGGACTACTGCTAAGAGTGAATCGAAACATTGCTTCGATGAAAGATCAAGCACTACTCCATGTACTGTCTACTGTCGACTACTGTATTGATTTTGATAAACAGTGAGCAATGCAACGAATGCAGTAAACACCTTTGTCTATATTACCTAAACTCAGCAACGAATTACCCAAACAATCGTGTGATTATCATTTAGAAGGTTTCTTGAGTATAATATGTGTAAGAGTGGTTCAAATTAATTAACGAATCTTTCAACGAAAAAAATTATTCGGGAAAATTAATCGAAATATGTTTGCCACCTGTTATAAAATTATAAAAGATAACAAGGTTGGCGCCATGATACCGCGGTTGTAAGGGTGTCGGGTACAAGGGTAGTTTAATTATCCGGCAACCCGGATAAGATGTGTAAAAATATTTCTCCCACTGAAAGAAGCGCATGTTGTGCGGTAAAAAAGTGCCGAAAAAATACTTTATATAGTTGCTATTACCCTTGGAATCGGCTCTATATTATATACTGTGACTCACACAAGTGTTCATGTGTTGATTTTTTTTTTAATATTCACAATTACTAATTATTTTTGTTATTTTTCTAAAAAAATATTGTCTAAGTTTTAGCTTAGAGTTTCAAACTTTATACAAAATTTTCGAAAATTCATAAAAATTTCGAGCTAATTAATCTGAATTTTTAGAACATTTCTGGGTATAATTTTAATCTCATGAAGTGCAAGTTTCAAGTGTCCAAAAAATCGCGTTGATTTTTAATAAGTTTTTTTTTTTGTGACTACTTTTTCGTTTTTTTCTTTACATAAGAAGTGCAATTCGAAGGGTTCCCGCATTTTATTTCATAAGAAATCCATATGTATATGAAAAGAGTGCAAAAATCCGTCAGCAAAAAAAAATATTTAAAATCAACGCGACTTTTGAGACGCTTGAAACTTACACTTCATGACACTAAAATTGTATGGGCTTTAAAACTGCACACCCAGAAATTCTCTAATGATGCAGATAAAAAAGCTCGAAATTTTGATGAATTTTCCTAAATTTTGTATAAAGTTTGAAGCTCTGACTTATATGGTTTTGGCTAAAGCTTCGACAATGTTTTTGAAAAACGTTGTGAAAATTTAAAAAAAAAAAAGCAAAACTTGTGTGAGTCACTGTACACTAAATATTCAGCCTACGGTAGAGAAAATTCGGATATGTAGGATTGTCTTAAATTTAACTTTTTTGAACTTTCCTGGGCCCGGGTACAATTGTCCGAGTATACTGGCAATGACGGGTCTACCCGGGTATTTTACTATTTAAAATAATTTAATATGAAATATTTGGACAAAACACATTTACTAAGATAAGTTAAAGAATCTTACAAATCTTATGCCGAATTTCTATACGCATTGGAATGACAAAAAATTTAAGGCATTTAAAAGATGCCATTTGGAATGAATGAATTTTTTAAAGTAATGACACGAATATTTTTTAATATTTTTAGATTACGAAATATTCTCAATATTTCGAAAAAGTGTCACTAGATGTCCAATAGATCATTAAAATCCCCAAAAAAAAACTTCAGATCACGATTTCCCTCAATAGTTTCCAGCAAAATACTGGGAAGAACACCTAAAAATGCTTTAAAATCTTAAATAATGCCGAAAATCTACGACGTAGGTTAATTTTCTGAATAACAAAAAAATAATTTAATCATTCCCTTTAATCCATCAACATCTAAGAGATTTTACTCATATTATATTTTATTTCTGAATAATGAAAAATCATCTGCTATTGTCACGAAGCTAAAAATATTGCGCATTTTAAGTGCTGTCGTTGACTCAGTAACTATAACTAGCAGCGACACTATAGTATTTGTTTTGCTGGCGAGCAAGCATTGAGTTTTACTTCATTTACTGTCAAGTTAATTTGCTTCATTACTGCATTTAACATACTGCGCAATAGGGCACACTCAAAGTATGTAAAACCATTTGCGCAGCTCTCTAATACATACACATACATACTATATACATTAGAATGGTCCAAAAAAACAAATTCCGAGATAGGGTTTGGAGCACCATCCAAAATTTTTTGCCGAAAGAAGTGCTGGTACCAAACTTTACGCTTCTAAGTACATATAAATTTATGGGATGCTCTGGATGCTCATATTTTACTTTAGAAACATTGTGTACATATATTAATCAAACAATTAGTTAATCAATTTAAAATCTTTTCAAATTTAAATTATCTAAAAAAATTCAAAAGCTTCAGTTGTCATGGCAAAATTACCAATATTTTTGCCACTTTCACAGCGATCCGATAGCGAATTTCAAGGTCATTGAGCACCCTGCCTTGGTTACAGTAGAAAATTGAAAGTTGGTATAGATATTACAAATATCAAAAAGAAAAAACTAAGGGGGTGCCCGTTTTCTAGCATGAAATGTTTTTCCCATACAAAAATTGGACCACTCTAATATACATACATATGTATGTAATGAGCCAAATGAAATAAATTGGTCACCAGCCAACCAAGCAAGTTACCAGCAATGCGCCGGGACGCTACATGCGGCTTGTTGGCCGACTGCCTGCTTTTTGCTTCAGTGCGCTTGTGGCATCTGCGATTGTCGTTGCGGCTCTTGCAACATGTCATACACGTTGCGGTAATGCCATATATTTGCTACTTACATATTTATATGATTTTTTACAGATACTTCTCTGCTCATTCTCATCACTTGGTTGGGTACATTTTGAAATTTCGAAGGTGTCAATGGATGCTTGGGAATAATACTACTACAATAAAACATATAAATGAATATTAAAGTCTGTGCCCCACGCTATACTTCAGTGGCAAAGAAAAAAAAAAACAGACAAAAAAGTACTCGTAGCGGAAAATTTTTTGGTAAGCACAGCATTCACGGCTTTTTAGTTTTTGTTTACCTTTTTTTTTTTTGAACTTTTCAGTGTTTACTTTGCACTGCTTATATCCCATTTGGTATATTTCTTTGCAAAAAAAAAATGTTTTTTTCCTTCCAACCTAGCCAAATTGCAAATGTCAATTTATGTGGCATTTTGCCATTTGAAGCTATTTTAAGCGCAGTTGTCGTAGAATTTATCGCAGTACATTAACATTTACGTAAATAAAATGCCAATTACAATCGACTGGAGACAATCTTAAATTAATCGCAGATTTGTGTAACTATGTATCACTCCATGCAAATAGTTTTTTAGAATGATTTTACAAATAAATAAATACTTTTTAGAAGACGTGGTAGTGGTAACGCATTTTGCTGTCAAATTGTGAAACCAAAAGTCCACTTTCCCCTCTAAACACACAAAAAGTAGTTTTTGTAGATTTTCAGAAATCACTTTCGGAAACAAAAATTGCTACTAAATTAAAAGAACGTCGCTCTCGAGAAATGACTGCAACTTACACTGAAATTTTCACAATTCGATTGTTTAAAATTTTTTGAACTGCAACAAAAAAAAAATGTCAAAACACACGAAAGAAGATCTGACGTCAGGGTTTTTTTTTAAAGGACTTATAAAATTTTAAAGGTATGATTAATTCAAAAAATTATTTTAAAAAATCAGTGCCATGTTCAATAACAATATGGGTACCAAATGTGAGAGAAAACAATAAATTTTTTTGGTTTAAAACGACGATTAGGTATTGAAAATGCGCTTTTAGTAAATTTTATCTTTTTAAGTTAATAAAGTTTGCAGGATGAAATTCGATGATGAGGTCGTGCGTATATATTAGTCCTCAAAACTGTAATTAAAAAAAATTTAAAAATATTGCAAATTTTCAAGGATATTTAAGGATAAAATTTTTTAAAGGACATTCCATACCCATTCGTCCTTATGCACCAAAAAATATATTCTGTTATAATGATACCCTTATTTTTATCCTATATAGCACTGAATTTTTTAAATAATAATTTTTTGAAATAATCACATTTTTTTTAAATTTCGAAGTCTTTTTGAAAAAAATCCTGAGGTCAGAAAGAAAAATTAAGTACGCAGTTTTACTATAATTTACCCATAGCTTCGCGAATGTATTCATTTTTTTATGTATAAAATTTACTGTCGCACGATGATATCAAACTGTAAATTGTTATTTTATTTATAATTTTTTATTTTTGTAATGCTGAGTTTCCACTACGCAGTGAAGTATCAAACATTTTTGTGCCACTCAGAAAACACCATGAGGAACCTCTCCATTTTTATAAGCGAATATTTTGTTTATACCTAATGCTGGATTTCCACAAATACAATGATGAACTTCTCTATTTTTATTA